TGGGCCTGAAGGATTTCACGCAGGCGGAACTTTTCCCAAGCTGTTGTTCCTGGTTTCTGGTGGGAACATGTGCTGGCTTCCCATAAAGTGGGAACAGCCGTCAGTCAAGCAGACCCCACTCTGTAAAGCTGCCTGGGTGACTCTGGTTTCCAGCCTGAGGTCTCCAGGCAGGTTTATGAGGTGCCACCCGTGTGATTAACGAGTCCCAGGGATGGCAGTGCAGGTGCAGGGAGCAGGAGGGAACAGGGATGGGGGGAGCTGGGAGTGGGTCCCTGCTCCAGGCTCTGGTACAGGGTAACAACCCCAGACTCCCAAATCCCACAGGTTAATGGGAAAAAATCATGAGATTTCTGGCAGAGGTGCGAGTTGGAGCTGCACAGGCACAGGTCTCCTCCCTGTCCCACCCTTTTGGCCGTGTCTCCTCATCCACTCTCTCCTTAGGGAGAGCAGAAAGGCTAAAGGAAAAAACCTTAGTACAGCTATGGGAGACAGTGGATGGGGGTTCTTTCCTTGTTTTGGGTTGTTTGGGTTTCTTTTTCATTAAATCCTGATGACAAACAGGTATTCAGGATTTCTTGTGCCCAGAGAAAGGGCACCTGTGATTTCATGAATGGAAACCCCACCTCTTTAAAAACTGCACATGCACCTTGCAGAAAACATATTTTCTACTCTGGCTTTGCAAAACCAAACCCAAACTTTCCCGTTTTCCTCAAAAAGGAAGACTCCAAAGGATTTTCTCAGTTCCTGATGGCCAAGTCACCGTCCCGTGGCTTGGAGCAAGTCACCACTTTGAGATGTCCAAACAAACACTCCAACAGCAGCAGAAGATGTCACATGAAAACCTCTGTGAGAAAGGGGAAACCACCAGTGAGTGTTTTTAACAGAGAAAACACCTCCCAGAGAAAGCCCAGTCCCAGAGGCTGGGATTGATTTGGTGTGACCCTGCAAACACCCTGCAGAAAGGGTAAAGTGACTGTGTTCCCTTTTAAACACCAAAGGGTTTAAAGCCAAGGCTGTCTTGAGTAGTTTATAGTAATAATCAACGAAATCAAAGTTGTATTAACAACCGTCCACCGGTGCCTTCCTTCCCAAACTCTGACATCTGATCACACAATCCATGTTTCTACCCTGGGAATAATAAAGGTCCTGTTACCTTCTTTACTTAAATCAACATCCTACGAAAGTTTTGTTTCCCAATTACTCCAGCAGCTCAGAAATGGCCATTAGCCCTTTGAAATCCTCTTGCCCTGGGAATCCTTGCTCTGCTTTTCATTAGGCCCTTCCTTTGCGATTGTTTTAGCTTAAAAAGAAGCACATTCCACTGTTAAATGATAATACTTGCACTTTTCCTGCCCCCAGCACCTCACCCAAAAATGTGCCTACTAACTCAGGTGTCCCAGGGGTGGCCTGTGGCTCAGCAGGAGGTGTGGGATCTGTGGGATAAAGGGTGGTGGCTGTGAGGCCAGCTCAGGTCCTGGGGGTCCCTGTCACACCTCGTTTTGGCAGTGCCTCCACTGCCACACGTTAAAAGGGAGCTGCCCCACCAGGACCTGCACTGTTCCACCAGGATAAAACAATCCCCAGCACCATCCTTCCTCTGTTGGATTAGCAGCTGTGACAGGGTGCACTTGTGCTTTGGAGTCATCTCACTCAAAAGCAAAGCATCTGGTCCTTTCTCCATCAGTTCTTTGTCCAAGCCAAGGACTGACCCCCTTTATTAAACCATTAAAGATGATGGAAACATACTCAGACTAAATTCCCAGCAAAGAAAATAATAATAACAACAACAACAACAACAACAATGCCATTTTGTCAGCACTGGGAGGTTTCCCAATGTCACTGAGAAGGTTCCCCAGCTGAGCCTGAAATAAAGCAAGTGGGACAAGAAGAGGAGAGAAAAATCTTCCTCCCAAAATAACCTCAGGTGACCGTGGGGTTTTTTTTGGGATACAGGTAGAAGGAAACAGCTTTTGGCTGCTAAGGCACTGTAACAAAAACAATCTGTATGGAAATATTCCCTAAAAGCAGATTTTTACCCAAAATTCTGTGAAGTGGGGAAAATCACAGAGTCTGCTGTAGGTGGATTTGTGTAGGTCACAGAGGAAGGGGGACAGGACTGGGGAAAGTGGTTCCCAACATGAATGGAGAGAATTCTAAAGGGAGATGTTACAGAGCTCTGGAAAACCCACACCCCAAAATGATGGCTCCATTGCTTATCCTGGACAATAACCCAGGGCAAGGTTTCTCAGTCAATAACTTGCTTTCATCAGCCCCTACTGATTAAAGATGACCAGCAGTCAAATGTTATTTCAGGATCCCACTGGATCTGAATATATTTGGGAGGAAATTGAGCAGATCTGGAAATCTTAGTGACATGTCATAACCAGCAGCCACCCCTCTGAGGGTGGTACCTTTGGTACCTCATTCCCTCACCAGCAACTTCCAGACAAGTGCAAAATTAGCCCAATTAGAGGTGCATTCCCTCTCTCTGTGAGGAACAGAGGTGCAGGAACACTGGGAGCACAAAGCTGTGGAAAGGTGAGGAATGGGAACCTCCTCCTCTCTCCTGAGCCCTGGGCTGGCTTTCTAAGGGAAAACCTTTCCTTATTTTCCCTCTTTCTTCCCCTCCTCCCCTTCTGCTTTGTCCAGAGCCTCTCTGAGAGAGCCAAATTGCCCATGAACATGCTAAAAGGAGGTTTGCTGGAACATCTGCTCTCCATCTGTGGAGCCAGACATATCCCCAGGCAGCATTCGCGCTGATGGCTCTGCGAGGGAACGTTCAGAGCTGGAGGAGCATCTGCTGAGGAGGAGGAACCCGGCACCTAAACCTCACCCTGTCTCCTCCAGAGCCCTGCTCAGGAGAAGACCTGCTGTTCTCCTGCCAGTTTGGGGGTTTTCAAGTGGTCTTCTGTCTGACCCAAGCAGGTGCAGAGTTCAGCAGTGAGCAGGGAGCTGTGGAGGTGCCCGATAGAGAACAGGCAGGGAGCTGCTCCTTTTGGGAACTGGGAATTGCACTGAGCAGGTTTGGGCTGGGTGGACACTTGGACCTGATGAACTTGAAGGTCTTTTCCAGCCTAAAGGATTCTATAGCTTAAAATAGACAACTGCAGAGTGAACTCCGAGTTCCTTTCACCCCTCCTGCATCCCTTCCTTGTCCCTCGTTGGGATTCACCTGCAGCAGAATCTCTCCATCAATACACACTTTCACAATACCAACAGTTTGCTGTTGGTATCATGACAAATTATTCCCTTTTGTACAAAACCATCATACAATTCATGCCCTGAGCTGAGCTCTAATTATTTAGCAGCTCTTTGCCCAACCCTGAGGATTCTGTGACTGTCACGCTTGGTATTTCCCTTTCTTAAGCAGATTTGCAGTGAAATGGATTTCTTGTTCAATTTGCACAAGAAGAGAGTCCAAGGGTTTCGTAAACTGTCACCTTCTCACAGCTACTCTGCCAAAATCTTTCCTGCAGCCTGTTTTCCATTGCCCTAAACTTCCTGGAGGGGGTAGAATTGCCACAAGGCCAGATCCCAGGTTACTGAGGAGAGGCATTAGTAGCCTGTGCCTTATCTTAGAATCAATCCATCCATTCCCAGGGCAAAGCCACCGGGAGTGCTCCCACTGTGAGATGGAGAACCTGAGCATCCTTTGGGATCCATGGAAAACACAGGTCATTTTCTGCTCCCTGGCTCTTTATATGGAGCTACTGAGCTTTGTCCTGTCAGCAGCTGCCTGGGGCTCCCAAACTTCACAGGAGACATCTCCTAAAATTTTAAGCAGCAGCAGGACACGAGTCTGTGCATGAACTCAGGGATATGATTAAGTATCTTTATAAAAGTTCTTTATGAGATGCTTCAGGAAAAGCATTTAGGTTTGCTCTAACTTAAAACATGTTTCCATTTATTGAAATCCTTAAAATATGACCTTAAACCATTTCTGAATTCATTTAAACCTTGGCTTGAGCATTGTGGAAACCAGAGGGAATGAAGAACACACTTACATCCTGCACTTGCCCTAAAGTTCTGGTGGTGCTTTGCACCTTCCACCTGCCACTCTCCCAGTTTCCAGCTCCTCTCTCCCAGCTGGTCCGCCCTTCCAGGACTGTGTCCAGTGTGGTTATTGCAGCTGCTCTCATTTCCTGGCCTGAGACAGCCCCCAGTGTCACACAGGCCACAGAATATGTCGTGTCAGTGTAAGTGAGGACATGCAGTGAGCAAATGAGCTGGTGCTGGTTGTTCAGGGAGGTCCCACGGTGTTCCAGCGTTACCCTGCAGCACATCCCACACCTCCTGGGGCCGGAGGAGCAGGAGATGCCACGGGCTCCTGCTGTCAGAGAGGGCAGAGTCAGGTGTTTCTGACAGCAGGACAATAACACGTTGTTTGTCCAGCCATGGGCAGCAGTGAGGCTATTAACACTTCACCAGAAAGATAAAGGACTCTATTTAGTTGCTTCCTAACCAAACCCAACCACAATAACAACAAAACCCCCGTGTGAGCCCTGCTCTGAACAGCAAGTGGAGACACTGGACTTGGGCAAGAGCTTCAATGGATTTTCCAGGAGAAAGCCAATAAAAAACTCATTCTGTCCTCGATTCATTCACATTGTGTTGCAGTCAACAGCTGATAAAAAAGAGAAGCACATGGATTAATTAGTTTGGAGCGGAGAAGAATGGGATCATTCCCCCGCTGGGGAGCCACCAAGTATTTAAATCGTGAATCCCGCTTGGATTTGCATCTCTCGAGGATGCTCTTCCTCAAGGACACAAGCAGGACTCCCTGAAATTAGAGACTGGAACCTCACAGAGCCCCCTGAAGCTGCAAGCACTTCTGGAGGTGGGCCGAGAGCGGCGTGTCCTCATGGAGGAGCTTTGCTTCGGCTTGGAGGGCCGAGACCCCCCCGAGTCCCTCCCGTGGGAGCCGGCGGCCCCCGAGGCCCAGCTGGACGAGCTGCTGCTGGACTGGCCGTGCCTGGCCGGCCCATCCTGCGTGGGGACAGCCCCCAGCCCCGGGCAGCCCCCGGGGAGGCAGCGCCGCGCCGCCAACCTGCGCGAGAGGAGGAGGATGCTGGGCATCAACGCGGCCTTCGAGCGCCTGCGGGGCCACGTGCCCACCTTCCCCTACGAGAGGCGCCTGTCCAAGATCGACACGCTGCGCCTGGCCATCGCCTACATCGCGCTGCTCGGGGACGTCCTGCTGTCCGGCTGCCACCCCAGGGCCTTCGTGGAGCGGTGCCTGAGCCAGGGCTGGCACGGCCGGGCGCCGGCAGCCTGGAACACCAGCGGTGAGTGAGGGGCACAGGGGTGTGTTCTGAAATATTTAATGAAATATCTGATTTCCTAAAATACGTATATTCCAGCAACCAAGGGTCTACAGAACCAGGATACACAAAACAGAGCATTCAGACTTCAGGTTATTTCCAAAGGGAGCAAACACCTATTTGCAATTTTTATGGTTATATAAATATTTCTATTTTGAAGTGAAGGGCTGTTATTTATATATACGTGTATATATATAATGTTTATATATATATATATATATATATATATAAATGTTTTTATTTGATTCGGACTCAACTCTGACTTGGGTGGGATGAATTTAGTCATTTTTTCCCCAGATTATGTTGTTTCATCAGTATGTGAAGATGGGAAATTGCCCAAGTGCCCAGCGTGGGTTTTGTGTCACTTAGAGCAGGGAGGAGCAGAGAGGGGGTTTCAGTAGTTCTTGGCACTTTGCACTATAAGTTAATTAACTCCCTTTCTATCCCTGTCCCTTTGGAGTTTGTCACCTCTTGGAGACAGGCCTTGAACCGTATGAGCCTTCGAAAGTGCAGCACAAAACCAGAGCAGAGTCACCGAATAAAAACACTCCCCCTTTCACTGCTCAGGGAAGTGTCCAAGGGACAGAGCCTGTAGGGAAAAAGCAATAATTTAATTTAAAAGAAAAGTTTAATTGAGTCTTTTTCTCCTCTCCCACTCATTCCCATCGGCTGCATGACCGGGAAAATGACTCCTGGTATACCGGTGATCACAATTCTCTTGACTACAGAGAATATTTATATTTTATTGTCCAGCTTCTCCAGCTTTTAATAGACAAACAGGTTGTTAAACAACACATGGGAATCACCTCTGCTGTCAGGCTTCTGGTTAACTAATATTCCTGCAGAGCTCCTCCTGGGAAGAGCCAAATGAGCCAGGCTCCTCCTCTGGAGAGGCTGAAGGGTAGACTGGTTAAATGCTAATTTAAGGGGGTTTGAAGTGTGTCCCGTGTTTTCCTCTCTCCCTTGTTCCCTGCAGATCTCACAGCCCGCCTGTCCTGGGTGAAGTGGGACTAAGGGCACCCAAAAGGAAGACCTTTGAAGGCAGCAGATTGCAGACCCTGACGAGGACCTGCCCGCTGGGTCCCGGCTGCTCCGCTCTCGGGGCTGCAAGCACAGCCAGTCCTCGGCTGTAAAACAGCAGATTGCAAATAAAACCCTGGCACTTCCCACCGCAGTTCTCGCCCTCCATCGCTGGCTCACCTCCTGCCCAGCACCCAGCCCCTCCTGGGGTTCACTCAGCACTCTGTAGGGCCTCCTGCTTCTCTTTCTTTGGGTTTCTTACACTCTGGTAAAGCCCCTCTTGCCTGGAAACAACAAGCCGTTCAAAATCACTGTCAGCACAGTCAGAGCAATGATGTTTTCTCTTCTGCTGGCTGAGAATCGTGCCCAAATCACATTTCCAGCATGTGGGAAAACGTCCCCCTGAGCAGAAGAGAAAACTAAGCAACACCAACTGCTTGGCTCCAGGTGTCCAGGGGCACCACTATCAAAGTCACCTGGAGGGGAGAGGGAGCTCTCCTCTCTCTCTCCCTCTCCCTCCCTCTCTTCTTCCCCCTCTCCATCTCCCTCTCCTCAACAGCACCTCAAATGCCCATGAAAAAACAGCCTCTGGCTCTTGATCTTTTTACAGTAATTTGTGATGTTTTTTGAGCTAATCTTTAAAGGAAACAGCACCTGAAGAGATGAAAAATCTTTTAAAAACACCCCAAAATGCGGTTTTTCTACATTTAGCTACTTCTCTACTCAATTTGGTTTTAAAATAAAAACAAACCCCAAAACTTACCATAAGAATACCTGCGGATTTTATGTGAATCCGTAAAGATACCCTGGATTTTACATGAATAAGTGAACAATATAAACCTCCAGGATCCGTAAAAGATGAAATCACTGGTTCTTCCAAATTCACTCCTCTCCTGTGCTAGAAATGCAGCAGGTCCTGGGAGCAGCCATCACATTGTCCCCTTCCTGCTGGCATCAGGGCTCAGTCCCACCGGGATCACAGGGTCGTTAAACCACCTGGCTGCTAAAATGGTGAATGTGCCACAGCACCAGATCAGTCTCTGATGATCCCCTTAATGTCAGATGAATAAAAGTAAATAAGGAGGGTATCAGCTCGCTCTGGCTGAAGGAGGCCAGGCCTATGGTTCTTTCCCTGCTAATCAGTACCAAAAGAAAAGTTGGCTCTTCAGGGATTTTTTTCCAGGAAAGCTGTTCCTGAATAGCTGCAGGGCTGGGCACATTTTGCCCTTGAACAATCCTACCTTTTTCTGACAGAACTCCACTCCTGGGAGTGAACTATAAGGCAGAAAGACCCGGGGGCAGTGATTTCTGTGCAGGGCATGCTCCACATGCACCCACCCTGTCTCCTGTCAGTGCTGGCTCATTCCCTGAGTCACACTTGATGGCAGATTTGTGCTCTCCCGTCCACAGGCCTGACTGGCAGCCCCATGGGACTCTCTGTCAGGGAACTACTCCTGCTATTTACCCTCATTTCCCTGTTTCTTCCTCTCACCTTCTGCCCCCTGAAATTTTATTCCAGCTACGGGGTTCCCATAAATCATACAAATCCCCGATGCAGACTCACAGCCTGAGTGTACAGCAGGCCCATCAAAAGATTTTAAACGACTTTCCAAAGACCTGTGAGAGGCTCCTTGTTCCACCAGCACGTTCCCAAACAGGGAACCCCGATGCCCAGCCTGGTTTGAGGGTCAGGCAGCTCCTCTTCCTCTGCACCACGGCACAGACCAGCTCTGCTTTCCCTTTGTCGTCCAACAAAGCAGCAGGACCCTCTCACCAGAAATTCCACAGCCAAACCTCCTGTGGAAGGGTGCCAGGAGGTGCTGAGGAATGGTACCCTCATATTCCAGCCCCTGAGGACCAGCTCAGGGGCCCACGGAGGGCAGGAGAATTGTTCACTTGAAACACAGCCCCTGCTTCCAGCTCACCACGGCCCCTGCCAAGAAAAGTGAGAATTATTTGTTACACCTTCCCTCTTCCAAAACTAAGCTCCTGCCCCTTGCTGAAACAATACACTGTGGTTCTCCAGCAGCTTGGAAACTCTGGAACAAAAGAAATCCCATCCCTGTTGCGAGCTGCTCTTTTGAGAAGGCGTTGGTAGCTGTTTCCAGGGGCAGGGTTGGGGCAGAAGGGACAATTTGGTTTGCTTTTTTCTTTTTTTTAATTTGGCCACAGACCCCCCCCCCCAGCAGCAATTTCTAAACAACCTGGGCTAGTGGAAGGTGTCCTTGCCCATGGCAGGGGGTTGGAATGAGAGGAGCTTGAAGTCTCTTCCAACCCAGCCCGTTGTGGGATTCTGTGATTTCCAAGAGCCCAGCATGGAAAATGGATTTTCAAGATTCACCTGAAAAAGGCCTGGGCAAGTTGGACAACACCAAATTGCTCCTTAAACGTTGCCACTGAAGATTTTGTGATTCACACTCTACTCAAGCTCTGGTGCCCAAGATTTGGAAGGCAAATTGTTGTGGATTATTGAGGCAGACCTGCCACTCCCAGCCTCAATTTAAAGAGAACCCTCTGGGGTCGCTCCCCTATTGCCTGTACAGAAGCTGGACACTTTGGAAGGGGCTCCTCAAGTGCGGTTTGCACGTGCAGAACCATCCCTGAGGGTCAGACGTGGCCCCACAGCCCTTTGTCACCATGGTGGGTGACCCCAGGCGTGGCTGTCTGTGCTCCTACAACCACACACGTCCTGCTGAGGGGGAAGGAGGAGGCTGAGCTGCAGGATTGCTGTGTGGAAACTCTGGAAACATCAAACCCTGTGTCTTCACCCCAGGCCCTTTTTTGGATGCTGAGCATCAGTCAGTCAGGAAACACGATGTTTTTGCTCAAGTAATAGAATCCCAGAACGGTTTGGGTTGGAAGAGACCTTAAAGATCATCTCATTCCAACCCCTCCCACTAGCCCAGGTTGCTCCAAATCCCCTCCAGCCTGGCCTTGGACACTTCCAGGGATCCAGGGGCAGCCACAGCTTCTCTGGGCAACCTGTGCCAGGGCCTGCCCACCCTCCCAGGGAAGGGATGTCACGGGAATAATTAGTTCCTTGGGAACACTGCAGCCAACAAAGGAGCTCCCAGGTGTTCTTTTCTTCACTGCCTTCCTGTCTGAGAGAAGAATAAAGTTTCTCTGTACCTCTCATGCTCCAAATCCCTATCACCTTGAGGGTGATACCACGGCCTGGCCTGGTCCCATTTGCAGGTGGGATGGTGATTTACAGCCAGGGCTGGTGATGGTGATGGTGGGTGGTGGCAGCTCCTACAACCCCTCAGGTCTCTGCAATGAATCTCAGGCCACATGAGACCACCTGGAGAAGCAGAAGCAGCAGCAGCAGTTTGTGGGGTTTACCTGGCTCCACATCCACTTTCTCGGCCCAAAGGCTGATGTGTGGTTGACTTTTGCAGGCACTTCATCACAACCTTCCTTCACCTCCAAACCTGGGGATGGTCATTTTTGGGCAGGATTTCCCGGGCTGGGGGCCATGTTCTCCTTGTGTTGGGGTATCACCCAGGAGATACAGGAGCCTGAGGCTTGGTTAGAGCTCCTGCTGTCCCGTGGGACCTTGGGATCCACGGCAGAAGGTGTTTGCTCCTGGCTCAGACTTTGGGAGGGAGGCAATGAACCCGTTCCCTGAACAGCCCTGGGGTCAAGGCTGGACCTTGGACTCTTGCCAGGGACACTCCTTGGAGCAGGATAGTTGCTTTGCACAGGTAGGGAAGGAGGGAAACAGGCGGGCTGGGGGGTTTCAAGAGAAACTTCAGCATCCTAAACCCCCTGTGCGAGTCCCCTTCCAACAATCCAGCACAGTGCTCCCCTTTCCCAGCTTCTATCCACAACAAATCCCTGTGGAGGCACCCAGGATATTCTAGAGGGGTTACCAGTGAGCCCTGACCTCGGGAAGAGCCCCCCAGGCCACATCAGCTCCTTTTGTGGGATCAAAGTGCAATTAGCACCACGATGCCTAATTTTAGATGACTCCCACCCAGCCTGTTTGCTCAAGTCATCTGAACAGGGAAACTCCAGCGCCAAAGCCGTCCCAATCTCCAAATAATCCCTTGCCAGGAGAGGGGGAAGGAGGGGAGGGGGGCGGGAATAAGAGCAGATAATGTTTTGGATTGGCAATCCCAGGCGGCGAGCCGGGAGGGTCTTGGAGCAGAGGGAAATCCAGCTGCAGGCACTGCCCTCTCGTGGTCCAGGATTCAAATCTCGCCCTTCCGAAAGCAGGCGATGATCCCTGCGAGCATCCCGGCTCAGCTTCGGGACAGTGGGAACATGGGCAACAGCACACAAAAAATACATATGAAGGGTATGCACAGCCCTCTAGCTCTGCAGTTGGATGATTTTGATGCCTTTTCACCCCAAATCCTTGTGGTTTGTCTTTCTGAAGCCACTTTTATGCATCTTTTGCCCCCTCTCTCCATGTGCTTTGCTTACACAAGGGATCCAGAGGAAGCCTGGAATGTTATTTAGCCTCCCAGCGCTCCCCTCTGCAGCTCCCGAGTGCTCTGAAATACCGGGGGAGGGGAGTTAGGATGCCGTGAGCCGGCACACAAAGCTCCCGGGAAAAGCATCCACGGATCCTGAAGAGCCTCGGGAAGCAGCCCAGCATTCCCTCTGCACCCTGCTCTCCTCCTGGAAGCCGCCGTGCTGCAGCGAGACGCCTCTTCCTGTCATCCCAGCCTCCTGGATGGCCAAGCCATCTCCTCCAAAAGCGCTTTCCAAAAATAATCAGGCTGAGGCAGACACTGAGCATGGAAAATGTGAGCCCGAGCCGTTCCCGTCGGACACAGAGGGAATGGAGCAGTGGGAAGGGCCATCCCAGGCCTGGCTCTTTGGAGTGTGCATCTGCCTCCCTGCCTCTTGGAGATGTGGGATAGGGAAAGAGGGAATGATCAAACCTCACCCGCAGAGATCAGCAGTCCTTATCAGTCCCCAGGGGACATCAGCCTGGTGGGCCTTTCCCCACGGCCGGTGCTTTCCCAGCTTTCCCTCTCTCCTGCCTTCCCAGTGACAAGCCACGCTCACAGAGCAGCCTTATCCAACCCCCATTTCCTAGGGCATGGATTCCAGGTGGGATTCCCAAAGAGGGGCTTTTGCTAAATGACTACAAAGCCCCCCAGAAGGGAACCTGATCCCGACAGCCCT